GGTGAGCGACAACTGACGTGCGTCCCAAGGGAGGTTGTCCGTGGTCGAAGGAGGCGCGGAAACGGTCAAGTAGTTGAATGAGCTGATTGCGCTGGTCTTGCGTAAGGCCGGTGTCTACGCTGCGCAACAGAACGTCTTCGTCAGGTAGTGAGGGCGCGGTGCCAGCTGTGACAGCATCCACGGACATCGGTGTCGTATCAGAACGGGCATGGAAAGGAAAGATGTCATCATAAGTGTCAAGACTCCCAATGCATTCGCCATGCAATAAGGTAGCGGGACAAGGGAACGGATTGCACACGTACACGGCACTGGAGCCATCGGCAAGTGTTATGACGGCAAACGGGACGACAAGGTTTCGGCGACGAGCGCATTCTTGTGACGGCATAAATAGGGCAGTTGAATTGGAAACGGAGTTGCACAAAAGAGATACCGCGGCGACCGAAAAAGCAGAAATGACGACGTCAGCGGCGACGATCACCTTTTTGGGTGAGCGAGGGAGATCTATGAATGTCGTGCGGAATGGAAACAAAACGAGTTTAGCACGAGCGCAGTCAACAACCGCATGATTAGCGTAAAGAAAGTTCCATCCCAGGATGATTTCATGAGACGCATGCGGAAGGACGACAAATTCAACGATGTAAAGCACTCCTTGAATCACAACACGAGCAGTGCATGTGGCAGAAGGTTGGAGCCTTGTGGGGGATCGACGCGCTCGGTCATCGCGGACTGAGATGGTAGCTTACGGCTGCGGAGCTCCAGGACGTTACCCAGCACCTCCACCAAATGCAACGAGCAAGGTTGCGTGAAAACACAGATTATTATTCGAGAAACGTTAGCCGCAACAAGCTGGTACAGGCAGGAACCCGGCAAGCACGAGCCACACACGGACGTCAACGTCTTCTTTCACGCTGGCACAGAGCTGGCGCCACTATGCTTCGGTACAAAACATTCAACAGAAGTCTGTCTGGTTGGGTATGAAACTGGGAGATAATTTAGACTCCAACCAAAAGTTTTGAAGAAACCCGACGTTTCGAAACCGACTTGGTTCCTTCCTCAGGGGTGACTGCGGAGACTACGTAGCAGCGGAATCTTCAAAGCACTTGCGGGACAGATAATCAAACATCAACCGCTCTCTCGGAACCCTTCCCCTAGTGTATACACATGGACTGCACTCCTCAGCAAAACGAGAGAGAGGGGGTCATTATCCGCCCCGCGAGTGCTTTGAAGACGCCGCTGCTATGTAGTCTCCGCAGTCACCCCTGAGGAACGAACCAAGTGGTTTCGAAACGCCAGGTTTCTTCAAAACTTTTGGTTGGAGTATAAATCATCTCCTTACACCTAACACCTCGCTGCTTCTGGTGCTTGGATTCAGGTGAAAACAGGTTGCAGTTTGGGAATTAAGTTTCTTAATGTCCTCAGTATCAACAGCAAGTATGCTTTGTTCAGCTGAAGTGCTCCTTCTGATTATCAACTGCCACACACTGCAGTTTGTAAACGTTAGTGAGCAAGTTGGTCAGCAAGAACTTAAACTGTGCTTTTTTGTAAGGAATAACTAGTAGCAACAAGGTGACACACCTACCTTATGGATTTCACAGGATTTAAACATGCACTTGTGTAAGAGCGAAAAACAATGTAGTGCAATATACACATGGTTAGCTGAATCTCTAGAATTTTGATAGCCAGCGAAACTACACTGTTCCTACGTGCTGGTAGAGCTCTGGTCTTGCAAAATAATGGACGGCCCAAGGGTACCAGATGCCCGACTTCGCTCTCCTTTAAATGTATTCAGAATCTGGACATTAGAGTGAACAAACTGACCTTTTGTGTACAAGAGAAGCAGTGTTGTATTATACTAACACACTCCAAATCGCGTACAGGCTTCGCACATCATAAATATACTACTAATGCAAAAGGTGCAGCTCTTGAAACGTGCTACAGAAGAGCGAATGTCGAATTGTTATAAATAAGACATATTTTCTTCCGCTGTACTCTATGACTGTACATATCACTATTATCTACTGAATGTGTTCATACACACTATGAATGAGTTGGCAAGCCAGAGTGACTGCGTTACATTATCTCATGGCTGTCTTCTGCTTACCGTAATTACTCGAATCTAACGCGCACCTTTTTTCCGGTTAAGCGAGTTCATAAATCGCATGCGCGTTAGAATCGAGTAGGAACAAAAAAATTACGGTCAATTTATTGCCATCGGCAAATCCAAATTGGCCGCCCCCTACGTGCGTCGGCATGGCGCGTCGGCCATTTCTGCCTATGTGTTTCCCATGTGCGGCACTTCGTATGTGTGCTGAGGAGTACGTCATCTAGTAGTGCATTAGCATCGACGGCGTGGAAGGGCCGACTCCAAAAACTCGAGTGCACCACGATGCCGCTTTTAAAAGAAAAGTCATCGCGTGTGCAGAAACGAACGAAAATCGGGCCGCATCGCGGTCGTTCGGAGTTCCCGAAATGTGCGTGCGGGACCGGCGGAAACAAAAGCAGAAGATTGTCGACAGCAAAACTTCATGCAAAGGCTTCAGTGGACCACAGCAGGGTCGGTTTTCGCAAATTGAAGAGCTGCTCGGCGAGTATGTGCTTGAGCAGAGAGCGGCAGAGCGGTCCGTGACGACAGAATTGCTCCAAGTGCGGGCTATGCAATTAGTCTTAGAAAAAGGTCTAATGCGAAGCCAGTTTAAAGCGAGCAGGTGCTGGCTAACTAACTTTATGAAGAGGAAAGGCTTTTCCCTCCGAAGGGGAACATGCATATGCGAAAGTTTTGTGGAGGAGTACAATTAAAAGCTTTTCCAGTTTCAGCGGTTCGTCCTAACTCCGCGCGCGGCAACAACGTCTAACTGCTCGGACAAATCGGAACTCCAGTATACTATGTGGACCCCTCCGTATTACATCTAACACCTGAATGTAAACATTCGACAGAAAGTCTGTCTGGTGGGGTATGAAACTGGGAGATAATTTAGACTCCAACCAAAAGTTTTGAAGAAACCCGACGTTTCGAAACCGACTTGGTTCCTTCCTCGGGGGTGACTGCGAAGACTACGTAGCAGCGGAATCTTCAAAGCACTTGCGGGACGGGTAATGAGACATCAACAACTCTCTCGGAACCCTTCGCCTAGTGTATACACATGGACTGCACTCCACAGCAAAACGAGAGAGAGGGGGGTCATTATCCGCCCCGCGAGTGCTTTGAAGACGCCGCTGCTATGTAGTCTCCACAGTCACCCCTGAGGAAGGAACCAAGTGGTTTCGAAACACCAGGTTTCTTCAAAACTTTTGGTTGGAGTATAAATCATCTCCTTACACCTAACACCTCGTTGCTTCTGGTGCTTGGATTCAGATGAAAACAGGTTGCAGTTTGGAAATGAAGTTTCTTAATGTCCTCAGTATCAACAGCAAGTACGCTTTGTTCAGCTGAAGTGCTCCTTCTCATTATCAACTGCCACACACTGCAGTTTGTAAACGTTAGTGAGCAAGTTGGTCAGCAAGAACTTAAAGTGTGCTTTTTTGTAAGGAATAACTAGTAGCAACAGGGTGACACACCTACCTTATGGATTTCACAGGATTTAAACATGCACTTGTGTATTAGCAAAAAACAATGTAGTGCAATATACACATGGTTAGCTGAATCTCTAGAATTTTGATAGCCAGCGAAACGACACTGTTCCTACGTGCTGGTAGAGCTCTGGTCTTGCAAAATGATGGACAGCCCAAGGGTGCCAGATGCACGACTTTGCTCTCCTTTAAATGTATTCAGAATCTGGACACCAGAGTGAACAAATTGACCTTTTGTGTACAAGAGAAGTAGTGTTGCATTATACTAACACACTCCAAATTGCATACAGGCTTGGCACATCATAAATGTACTACTAATGCAAAAGGTGAAGCTCTTGAAACGTGCCACAGAAGAGAGAATGTCGAATTGTTATGAATAAGACATATATTCTTCCACTGTACTATATGTCTGTACATATTACTATTATCTACTGAATGTGTTCATACACACTATGTATGGGTTAGCAAGCCAGAGTGACTGCGTTACATTATCTCATGGCTGTCTTCTGCTTATAACAAAGCTTAGCATACCAGCATACCAACGAAAGAGTAGCATCAAAGCCTAACTTCTTGATTAAAAGTATGTAACAAAAATAACTAATTCTTTTTTGCTGAATATGCAAATGTGCCACTTGTACCACACAAGCTTACTAAATACGCCGTAAACTAGAACAGTGTGTTGGTATTTTCAAGCCAATTAGAGAATTTATGAAAAAGATGACAGCTAGGCTAGTTGGTAATAGCTCTTAAACATCTTGATATCAGTGTGAAATATGGCATGGGCAAAAGAAAATAGGAGAAACTATAACGCTCAACTCGCAACGCATATATTTTGTTTGAAAATACATGCACACATATTTAGTACTGCAAAGATCTCTATTTTTTCTAGAAATGTGTTCCGAATTTGTGACATGAAAAGTTACGTCTAACTTTCTATGTTACCTCCCCACCCCCTTATGTAATACCCCAACAGGGGCCTTTAAAGAAAAAAGGAATGATGATGATGAACTTGTCACCCATGTGACCACAACAGACATGACATCAGAAGGCAAGCACTCTGAATCTATAAAAACCAACATGTATACGAAATTCCAGTCCCTTCCATGTAAACAGCTCGCTTTTTGGGACTCTCAGAATAATAACGATGCTTTTTGTGGCTGTTCATGTGGGCGTGACTGGAGTTTGATTTACTTGTTATTGGCGTTTTGGATTCAGTATGGTGTCCTCTGACGTCATGAGTGAAGTGGTCGCATGTGTGGCAGGTTGTCGCTATACACGTGTGCTGGTATTTTCAAATAAACTACAGCTGTGAGCTCAGCATTGCAGTTTGTCCTATTTTCTATTGTATGCGTGTCGTAATTTCTGTTGCTTTGAAGATTTTTAAAGAATTCACGTCAGTCTTCTCTAATGGGCCTCTACAGTGTGTGACTTACCTCGGAGCCAGTGTGGAACAGGATGCGCAATGTTGGCTGGTCTCTGCGGGGTGCCGGTGTGACCAAATGGGCCGTCACATCCCCCATGGGCTCGGGACCATCTGACGACGAGCTGCTTTGGTTCCCCACCGAGGCTAATGGGCTAGTGGCGTACACAGTCTGGCGCACAGAGAACGGCCCAAACTGTGCCACCACCGTGATGCGGCTCGAGAACGTGAGCGCGAAGCGTCGCGAAGGCTCGGCCGACGAAGCCTCCACACCCGTGGGTTCATCTGGCGAGCTCAGGAAGAAAGCACCTGTTGCATCCCCGGGGTCCAACACCACTTCGACACTGGCTGCCCACAGGCACCGCACTGCAAAAGATCGTGTAGATTAAGGATGACTCAAGCCATCAGCCATGTGAACTACAGCCAGACCCCTTTATGAGAGACACATGACATAAGAGACAAATGGGTAAAAGGACACTAGTGTGCCTACAGTAAAATACGGGTTGAGAAGAAAATGCATACGGGGCACCCTGCCTATAAGAGACTTCTCATAAAAAAGACAAGAATTGCTGCCTGCAGCATGCCTCTTGTAAAGGGGTTTAATTGTATATATATCCTTAAGGAAGGAGTCATGATATATGTAACCTGCGATACAAATAAGTTCAAGGTGACAAGTTACTATATCGGGGCCACTAACATGTTTTGCTAGTGACCCTTCCATTCTTGTGTACAGTGCAGAGTAGACATTTCTGGCTGTGCATGTGTAATTTTGCATCTCATTCTTAGTTTATTTAGGTGCAAGTTCTCTTGGTGTTTCATTTTATTATTTATTAAGTGCTTTAGTCCATGAATAAACAGTGAGAGTCTGCTCTAGTCCTTATAGCCTTCCTTGTGAACGCGACCTGCTTTTGTGCAACCTTCACCTTCAAGTATTCATAAAACTCTACAGCAGCATCAAGTACTAAAGTTCGAAAACATTCAAGCACTTAATAAATTATTAATTCACAAATTCAGTTGCTCAGGTTGGAACTTGTGTGAAGTAATTTAATTGTACCCCGTGCTTGTGTGTGGGTGGCACAAATGGCCTCAACAAGTCACCTCTCACCTTGCAAAGCTATTTCTTAAACTGACCATTTGTGCATCAATTCTGAGTGTTCACATTAACATATTTTAGCATCTTTTATCAACAAGGCCAAGTTAGTGCACTCAAATATGAAGAACCATTATGCTAGCCAGAAGTCAATTAAAAATACATAGGCAATAATTTTTACACCCTAATGTTAAACGGAGAGCAATGTTACAGCACAAACCTTCATAAATCGACGAACTCCATATTTGTGTGCAAGTTACATGAGGTATAGGTAAAAACCAACAAATAATGCCACTCCCAGAGTTGACATCAGTAAACAATATGCCTTGCAAAGGTGGCCTGCTTCCTATTATGACAATTAGGTGACAATCACAGGTTAAGGTGCCATATCTTACTCATGATTTCATCAGATTACTGATGCCTAATTTCCACAAAAACTCACCCCACACTGCAGCTAGCTAGCTTAATTTATTGCTTCATGTTGTGATTATGACAAGCAAAATAACTGTGTCGAATATGCCGGCAAAAAATACAAATAAACGAGTGCATATGAAATATGATGTAACACAAAGGCGATCATTCACAATTTGTGGATATTTGCTTTTACAGGCCATATCATGCAGAAAACTACATTTACTTAATTATGATGATCGAGGGAACATAATCATGAGGACATTATGTAACAGTTTAAATGTATCAAATTATAGACAATTTTTAAGTGTGTATGTAGAACATACGTGAAGGGATGTCCCTTAAATGATGTAGTTCATATACTTGGCTGCTTCAGCAAGCATTATATGTGTGCAATCATTGGTCAGCCTTAAAGAATATAACATGAAAACACTGTTTTAGCCCAAGTGACAGTTTCAACAGTAATCTTTAAACCAGCTGAAATAATTTCATGCGTAAACTTCAGCGCAGTGTCATTTGATTCACGCAAAATATTAATTAAGGTCCTTGTTGTACGCAGCGTACTGTGCTATTATCATTAGGTGAACTCGTAAAACAACTGAAAAGAAAAAAACGGTTGCATGACGACTGCCATGTCAGCTTCACAAGCAGCCAATACTTTTATTTATTTAATCACGTGATAAAACACATCACATACGTGGTTTGGTGTGAAGAGAAAGAAGCTGCATGTAACAACTTGACCAGCCCCTTCAACCAGAAAAACATCTAAGTTATAATTTTTTCCTAGTTATCGAACAAATTAAGTTCTCTCGGTCGATCGAGCAATCATGGGCAAGTTTTTGGGTCACTGTAGCGTGCATAACATTATTCATTCTAACAGTCCGGATTGAGTATTTCGGTTCCCATACCCGTACCCCGCCCCCACGGCACCGAATTAAAACGCACGGCTCGGACTCTATCGGGATTTCAAAGCACGGCTAATAGCCGCCGGATGTCCAGTGCACAAAGGACAGACGCGGACAGCTGCTCCGAATAGCTCCAAGTCAGGGCCGCGGCCAACCGACGCCAACAGGCCGGCGCGAGGCGCAATAAAAAGCCATAAATTCTCCCTCATTGCACTCGGAGACGTACGAGCGCGCGCCCGCCAAGCTGGCTCCGCCACTAAGCACAAGCTCTCTCTCACTTCCCTTTAAAAATGGCCACCCTATTTTTGGGAACCCATAGAAGGGAAAAAACGCGTCGCCGCACTTCCGAACCACGTTGACAGGGTCGGCAGTACGCGGTGTCGACGAATGTCACGCACCGCGCCCAACCCCGAGTCAGAACTCGGCCCGGATGCGCGTGTTTATTTGCGTCGCTATGTCGGCGCCGGCGACACGCGCTCCTCGGAAGAGGCCTGCGGATCATTCGCTTCCGTCACCGTGTCTCAGTTCGCCACTACTTTTCTGTCGGGAATGCAAGGCCATCATTTCGCAGGAAGTAGGCAAGAGTGAAGCAATGAGCGGGTTACTACGAGGGGCGAGCGCCGGACCCTAGTGGACACACGCACGGCGGCGAGAAAGCACATGTCAAAAGCAAAATCATCGTTCACTACCAAAAAATGGCAAGTCGCGATCGAAGGCGCTCGTCTCCTGTACGCACGCCTTTGATCGCCGAGTATCAAGAATTGAGTAGTTGGTGCGCGACACGGCGAGTTGATGCCGGGTCTCTAACACGGCGTGTGTTGCTTGCAATGAAAGCTCGTCGAAACGGCATGCGAGTCACGTCGACGCGGCGCCCGAGGTCGGCACCTGCCATCTACGTACGTCAAAACCTATGAGTGCGCGCGCGCTGCTTGTACCGGTACACCGCCGTGATTCTGCGTGTGCTGGGTTACCCGTCACGTTCATAACCTATCAAACGAACGAGCCAATGACGCTTACTGCAGGCGCGCGCGGAGAAAACGCCCATACACAAACATCGAAGGCCAGCAGTGTCACGCAAAACAAGGCCGCGCTATCCACCGCGCCGGGCTGCGCAGGCAAACGCCAAAACAGCGAATTAGCGCTCATTCTGCACTCACCGGCACAGAATATCCAAACCAGGGCTTTCCAGTGTTTCATGTCTACAGGTTCCCACAGCGAGGAGCCTCGCTAAAGGTCCATTTCTACCGCGAACATACAAAAGAGAGCCCCTTTATCGACTGAGCGTCCGCCATCGTGCACCGATGAGCGTCTGCATCGGCTTTCCCACAATGCACCCGAGCATCCAGCAGCATCCTTCGGAGAGAAGGCGCGTCGCCCCTCCCATAGCGACACACTTCACTCGGTCGACGCAACGTCGCGACGTTTCACTATCGGTCCTAACAGCTAGAAATCACGCCAAGGCTAGTTTTTAATCTAACCGCTATGCACAAAACAGTTACATTTTTAGCTCCAAGAGTAGCGCTACTTATCGACTATTCTAACGTAAAGGTTTACAAGCAGCACTATCTTAAACTGATTTTAGTTGTAGCGGTGAACTTTAGAACTAAGTGCGTCTAACCGCGCCTAATTTTGCGTCAATGGTCACACGCAAGCACTTGCGTTGTCACTACGCGAGGATTGGTCGTTTCTGAGTAGCGCCCTTTTTGATCTGGGCAGAACGCCACTCTGGATTTGTATCGATCAAGGATAAACCTACCCTGCGTTCTGCTGTATTTTATTGCTGAAGGCGAATGCCACATAAATACGCACCATTGGCTACAGCATCTCCCTCTAAAGGCGTGCTCGTCTGGGGCAGTCGAGTTTTGTACAAGCAGAGCGGCCTGATTAAAAAGAAGCTCCGCAGTCTTCGCTGCTTTTGCAAATGGATTGCGGTTCTTGAAATATAGGTCTCGCATGCATTATTAAAAGTAGCTTTGCAGTGGTATTTTATTGAAAGATTGAAAGTGATGTCGAAAATATTGTGCCGGCGCAGAGTATTCTGAAGTCAAACTCAAATAACTCACTGAATGAAATCGCTAAATATCCAACTTGTCGAAAAAATGCCTTTGGAGTCTTACATACTGCAGTATGTAGCCGCGGGTCAATGCCTGTTATTCTTTGTTTCTGCTTGTGTTCACCACTTTATGGCTGTTATCAATTCGTTTGCCTAAAGCGTGGTAAATTCCTCGTACTGTGGCAGAAATTCTGTAGCAATTGTGGCGCGCACACACGGGCGTTAGAAGTTTTTTTTTTTTTTTTTTTTTTTTGTTAGGAGGGCGGGAATGGAGGAGAGGGTGCAAGTCTGTCTTGCATCGCTGCTGGATGAGGGGCAGAGCGTTATTCGCACTGTCCGTAGGAGGCCTTAGAGGGGCTCTGAAACATTTTTTCAAGTAACCATAGAATTGATTCACTAAAAGAGCTTATTGCGTCACAAATTCGACACCGCAAGAACTTTAAGAATTCGTCCAGTACGAGTAGAGTTAGGGAGATTTGTCACACGCCGCAATCGCGTTCTCTCTTATCTCGTCTTGGCGAAAGCGCTGGAAGCTAAACAGAAAGAAATGGCAGGGGAAAAAAAAAAAAAAAAAACGTCACGCGTGGCTTGTGACCTGGAGCACTTCTTTCTGTTTTTTTTTTCTTCGAATACGGGGCTTTCTCAGCCTTTTCCGTGTAATCACGCGCGCACACGTTAGAGATACTGTGTGTGCCAACGTTACTAGATTACCTCAGTTTGCAAACTCCGCCGGGAGGCGGCGGCGAAACGCGGCCTCCTTCGTTTCCCGCTCTCTAGGTGGCGCTTCCGACGCCATTTGACCGGTCACCGCATCGTAACGGAGCCTTCGCGCAATGTTAAACGGAATTAACGCGGTTAATTTTGTGTAATGGGAGTTATTTCCTGAGAGGGTGAGCGAAGGTTATTACGAGTGTGCAAGTAAATCACCAGTTGAGCCGCTAAGGCGATGCCACACGGCAGAGACGTGAGCGCGATGCCCGAATCTTGCGGGACTTCTGTTCATACAGCTCTTTTGCGTTCCTGTTCTTTAAAATTCGATTGCCTATGTAAAAAAAAAAAAAAAAAAACCATTGACAGTGGGCCACAGCATTAAGTCTAAATGCTAGAGGGCTATGCACTTCGATTCAGGTGCACGTTAGAGAAACCCCAGGTGGTTAAAATTTCCAAAGCCCTTCACTACGACTTGCCTCATAATCATATCGTGGTTTTGGCCCGTAGAACCTTCGATATTATTGTACGATGAGCCACGCACTACAGCCATCTAATGACGCCGGATATGTTAAAGTGTAAAGCCCAGAACGACTTGTTCGTTCCAGATAACTGAATCGTATGATTCGCATTATTTTAGAAGAAAGATACCGAACTACTTCAATAAAAATTTGGCCTTTTTAAGGCTATAAAATGCGCGAGATGACGAGAACACAAAGTCAAGTTAAACACAATTTATTGAACACTGAACAAAGTCAAATTAAACACAATTTACTGAACACTAAAACAAACAAACTGGAAGCCACTTTTCTTCAAAGGCAAGAGCCAGAGTTACAGGAGACGTGTTTTTTTGTTTGCTACAGCCACCTTTTCCTTGCTTTCTAATTTATGGTTGAAATCTCTGAAGGCGCACCTAGTCAGCGGGAGGCTTGAAAAAAAGTCTCTTTTCGTCCGCGGATTTCGTCGAATCGTACCCACTTCGGCAACCAGTCACAAAGCAGCGAGGCATGTTTTCTCACATTCAAGAACCGTCACATGACACATGTGAGCTGTGTAGCTCACAGGGAAAGCGATGACTGAGTTGAAGACATTAAAAAACACCCGGCACCATGCAGATCACGCCAACGCTGACAGCGTCGGTGCCGTTGTCAGACGGCACCGCCGAGAGGATCGCGCTTGCGGCTTTTTGACCGGTGCAGGGAAGGGTGACACTCGCGGCGCCGCAGTTTGCAAACTGAAAAAAAGTATCTACAGGTTTTCCCGCTCAATTTAATCCAAGCGCCAGCTAAATTAATCTAGGCGCCAGTCAATTTAATCCAGCCGCCACTGAAATTAATCCAGGTGCCATTCATTTTAATCCAAGTGCCACTGAAATTAATCCAACCGCCAGCCGATTTAATCCGGACGCCAGCGAATTTAATCCTGATGACATTGTGACCTCAAAACGACCCAGAATTTTTGGGAATGCGTGGAGTGAATAGCTTTGGAGTGAATTTAACAGGGAAAAGCCATGAATGAGTCACTAGTGACACAATGCGACTCGCGCGACTTTATCACGCCTATCACCCGCGTAAGCACTATTCACACCTTCGACATGCATATCAAAGGAAAAGCCGTCCACACAGTAATAACTTGATACTTATTAACCAGGCCAATGATCTCATCACGAGTGACTTAGGTGACGCCCTCACGCATATCACCCACGCACACACTGTCTTAACCTTCCGTCATGCATATCAAATGAAACGTCTTTGAAAGGGCGGGATTTTGATACCTAAAACTCTGCCAAGTCACCTGATAACCAGTTCTTCAGGGGACGTCATCACAAATATCACCCGCACACGTAATTTACTCGCCTACCGACATGCATACCAAACGAAACGTCTTTGAGAGAGCAATAACGTGGTACCTATGACTCGGCCAACTGATTTGATCACTTGTGATTTAGGTGACGTCATCACGCCTATCACCCACGCACGCAATGTCTAACCTGCCATCATGTATACCAAACGAAACGTCTTCGAGAGGCTAATAAATTGAACGCTGTCAATCGGCTGAGTGACGTGATCACTAGTGACTCGTGTGACGTCATCGCGTTTGACACCCACGCACGCAGCGTCTAACCTGAGTTCATACATATCAAATGAAACGTGTTTGAGAGAGTAATAACTTGAACGCTGTCACAAGCCCCAGTGACGTCATCACTAGTGACTAGCGTGACGTCATCTCGCCTAAGACTCACGCAAGCACTCTATAATGTGCCTTCATGCATATCAAACAAAACGACTTTGAAAGGGTAATAACTTGAATGCTGGCACTAGGCCGCGTGACGTCATCACTAGTGACTCACGTGACGTCATTACGCCTATCACACGCACACGCAGTGTCCAAACCTGTCTTCATGCATATCAAACAAAATGTCTTTGAGAGAGTAATAACTTGAACGCTGTCACAAGGCCCAGTGACGTCATCACTAGTGACTGCGTGACGTCATCATGCCTGACACCCACGCACGCAGTGTCCAAACCTGTCTTCATGCATAGTCAAACGAAATGGTCTTGAGAGAGTAATAACTCTAAACGCTGTCACAAGGCCCAGTGACATCATCACTAGTGACTGGCGTGACGTCATCACGCCTATCCCACACGCACGCAGTGTCCAAACCTGTCTTCATGCATATCAAACGAAATATCTTTGAGAGAGTAATAACTTGAACGCTGTCACAAGGCTCAGTGACGTAATCACTAGTGACTGGCGTGACGTCATCATGCCTGACACCCACGCAAGCAGTCTGTAACCTGCCTTCATGTATATGAAACGAAACGTCTTAGAGAGAGTAATAACTTGAACGCTGTCACAAGGCCCAGTGACGTCATCACTAGTGACTGGCGTGACGTCATCATGCCTGACACCCACGCAAGCACTCTGTAACCTGCCTTCATGTATATCAAACGAAACGTCTTAGAGAGAGTAATAACTTGAATGCTCTCACTAGGCCTAGCGACGTGAATACTAGTGACTCATGTGACGTCATCACGTCTATCACACACGCACGCGCTGTCCTAACCTGTTTTCATGCATATCGAACGAAACGTCTGTGAGAGAGCAATAATGTATACTTATGACTCGGCCAACCGACTTGATCACTATTGACTCACGTGACGTCATCACGACTAACAGTCATGCAAGCACTCTCTAACGTGCTTTCATGAATATCAAACGAAACGTCATTGAGAGAACATTAACTTGAAGGCCGTTGCAGGCAGCGTCTGCTAGTAAAAAACTAACTTCTCGCGCTGCACAGCCGTTCACCAGCTAACCGGTATACGTAGGCACCAGATCGCGCGTTTCGAATTCAGTCAAAGGCGTCTTTACATGGCTTTTGTTTGACGTGACGCTTTTCTTGACTCGTGTAGATGCGATGGAAGCAACAGTA